TAGCCCTAACAGTAAGAAATAACTCATATTTTCTTGTGCTTCTTTTCTGAAATTCTTCAAGCAGCAGCATCCTTGGAAGAGAGACAATCAGAAGTGAGGCTTCTGGTGTCAAGTCATTTCTTTAATTTGTGATATGCAACTGAGTGCTTTCCCACAATAAGTCCTCTGCTTGCTTGTTAGTACTGTAAATTACACAGATTGCTTCATCTCTGAAGAATAGAACCAATGAAGTAAATATATGAATCTCTCCTTAAATCTCTCCCCAGTTTGCAAATATGTCTGTCCTGACAAACATGGCCCCTGGCTGTTCTCTATGTTCTTAATCAATGTTTGAAATACTGAAGTGTCCCCTTGGAAAAAATCCATCTTTCTGTGATTCTTTTTTCTTTAATCTGTATATCACTCTGTTACCACCTCTGAAATATTGCCTGACTTCAAAATTAGTGTAAGTGTTTCTATTGTTATATGTACTCACGACTTAATAGCTGTCTACTTCAGCTATCCTAGTGCTGTCTTCCTGTATCGTTTCCTGTCCAAGGATAGATGATTACCATCCCTTGTGCTGGCCTGTTGACTCATTGCAATTTCAATTCAAAATCACTCTCCATCTTCAAAACTCTCAGAAGTATTGTTTCAACCTGTTTCTCTGATCTTCTAGCCAGCTATTCTCTCACCTCCCTATTCTGTTTCCAAGGTGTTCACCTCTGTCTTGCCCTTTTTTTTTTCTGACTTGAGCATATTTCATCATGTTTACAGCTCTGGGTTTTTCTCCCAAAGGTAAACACTGCACTCTGCTACTTATCAATCAGCCTCAGTGTTATACTCTCCATGTCCCTGGTTTTCGTCCTGGTTGTATAGACATAAGCCTTCCTGGTCACCTTGCCCCTCCTCCTACATATTTCCTTCTCAGGGATCCTTTAGCTTTGAAGGCTTAGAAGCAGCTATGATTCTACTAATTGTCTTTCTTCAGGCAAATAGGAAAAGGCCATATTGCATGTGATCAGTGTGTATGTCAACAGAACCCTTTGGGTGATATAGGGAACAAGTAATTTTTTACTATTCTCAGTTGCAAGATTATTGAAAAAGTAATCCCATGGGAATAAAGAGGAGTGAGAACAAGAAGTAATTTTATAATATGGTTGCAGTACCTGCTATTTTAGTTAGAAGTCCGGCTTTGAAATTTATTTCTCAGTATTTAACTGATTTTGGCTGGTTTTCCTTTTCAAATTGCAGTATATCAAATGCATGTTTTCATTTGTATTTATTGAAATTTTAATTCTTTTAAATCCTCCCTGCCACAGCTTTTTAAAGTAGTGGAGAATAATTATATCCATAATTTTTGTAAGGCATTCCTTGTAGTGGAAAGGGACTATTTTTAAAGGTTTGTGGAAAAAATCACATCTTCAGTCAGGTAATAAATTCACATGAACTTCTTCCCTCTCCCTCTTTTTTTTTTTTTTTTTTTTCTTTTTTTTCCTCCTGTTTAACATTATCCACTTTTTACTCTGTGATGTACAAGCCCTCACTGGTTAATTATGTATATATTTAGCTACTGCATGTGTTGGGCTTATTATTGTCATCTAATTAGATGCAACTCGAACTACTTGCTTCTAGAAAAATCATTAAAAATTCTTTCCTAATGACCTAGAGATGACAAAATGTCTGTAAAGTGTGAAGAAGCAGACAAGCATAGGAACATCGCACTTAAAGAGTGTTAATCCAGATGCTGCAATCATCTAATTAAACAATATTTTGCTGTCATGAACATTTTCACCAAGGAATTGCAGTTATAATTTCTTTGTCAGCTGTCTCTAGCTCACTTTACCTTCAAAACCAAAGTGCCATATAAAAACATTAAATTGGATGGTTTAATTAAAAAGTTTTTTTAATGAAGAAACATACCCAGCATTTCTGAGATCTCGTTTACTATGCCTCAGTTTTATTGTTCAAGTAGATTAGTGTCATAGGCTTGCAATATTTAATATTCAGCCTTTAATATTAATCTCTCTAAACCTACTTGAAGAAAAATCTGAAGCTTCTGAAAAGGTATAGGGACTATCCATAGCAGTACAGGTTTATGTTTTATATTTAGCTAAAGAAAGAATCAACATTATTCTTGATGGAAGCACCAGACAATTGATCAGATGATTAAATATATTAATCTGCTAACTTTATTCTGAAAATAATCATTGCAAAGCAGAACTGATCAAGAAAGCATTCCTAGTAAAGTTAAACTACTAATATTTATGCATGTTTAGAATTAGGGATTTGTAATCCCATTATAGGCCTAGATCACTGTCCTCCACTCAGATAAGCAGAGATGTGTGGTCTTACTTCATTGTGCAGGTTTGGTCTTTCACAATTTTAACTAGGGTTCATCTTCCAAAGTAGTTTTTATTTCTTGATGTTAAAAAGAAATCTGAATTGAACTGAGAAAAATAAATTACTAACTTTTAAACCAAATATATTTAAAGCTATTCTCAGTAGTTAATATCTTAATAAATAAAGTGCATTTTATAAATATTGATATAGCAGAGAAGTCCGTATTTTGTTTATTTTGTTATGAGACTATAATTACATTTATAAAGTGAATAATCACTATTATCCTACCTAGACTGAGAGAAGCTGCTTCAAATTATTTCTCATTGTGGGGTAAAAAAATGCACACAAAAGTTACTACAGTGTACTGACATAGAGCTAATTCCACATGATAAAGTGTTCAAGTATCCATACAATAAGTAACCTACCCCTCCACACAGCAAAGGAGAACTCATGTAAAACAGCTAGGCTTGGGATTGCTTTTTTCTTGCTCTATTCATGTATTTATAACTTTCCCATGTGGAATAGGAACAAGATGTCAAAATCTTGTTGAGTGAAGACTGAAATTGAAATGAAATTAATAAAAAAAAAGTAAATAAAATCTCAATATGGAAAATATCAAATTTGAACTAAAAAGTAATTTTGAATAATCCTACATTTCCTTTCAAAATTTTGCAAAAGAATATTCTTATCTTTCAAAATGCTTCTATAAAGTGTTTTAAATTGAAAGTTTTTATTACTGTTAACTCTTTTCCATAAAACTTTAGATTCTGAACAATCATCATTTTTTTGCTTATGCTGTGTAATAGACTACAGTCACCTCAGTCATTCTCTTCCTGAATCTCAAATCTTTTAGTCTGTCATTTATGTAAGCCCAAATGTCTTTCTTTTATGGAATCTTTTACACACTCTTATGTGAACTTTATTGAGGATATGGACAGTCAGAAAAACATTTCTTGTACAAAGTTATAGTTTTATAAATACCATATTTTATAGATCATCATTTTTTTGCCATTTCAAGAAGCTGTATTATTCATATGTAACTAAATCCTTATGAAGAGGAAAATAATACTCTGATTTGACAAATGTGGAAAGTGAGCCAGAGTAGTCTTACTCAAAGACCTCCAGAAATATAGAAATCCCCCCAAAACCTAAACCAGTTAATATTCTGCCAGAGAGTACTTTTCCTTTTCCTCCCTCATGCGGGTAATTTCTAATGTATTTCTTGATGTAATTGCTTGATAAATTCTCATTATGCCCCAGGATGGTATTGCATTAGTTCCCTGTTGCTACTAGAGAAATATTTTTGTTTCTATCCATCTTTATTGGTGTGTGCACACAGTGCTGGTACTGCTTTTTTAAAAAAAGAGTTGTATTTGCACTTAAATTATTTTTGTATGCTCTTGTGAGGATGTATGTGTTAAAAATGTAAAAACAAAGACATACAGTTGTTAAGGATATGCATTCTTCTCAATTGCAGTGAAACTGTGTACAAAATAGAAACACGCTTCTTGTTCATCAACTTCTATTGAAAAACCAAGGTGTTCGTAGGGCAGTGAAAGTTTCACGTTTCATTAAAGCAAAGCTGATTTTTGTCGAGAATTGCAAATGCTACTCAGAACAAGGAAGCCTGTGTTTTCCTGTGCCGCGTTTTGTACCCCGGGAATCTGTCCAGAATCTGGAAGGAAGCAGTTAGTGAGACAGGCCTGTAAATCTGTCACAGAGCTGGGAATTGTTAACCTGGGTTATTTCAGTCTGCTAATTATTTTATATAAATACACATACACATATATTTATGACCTGTTTTTTTTCTTTTTGAGACTCAAGTTGCGTACTGTGTGGTTCTTAGTAAATCAGTATGGTAGATGATTCTGTATTGAGCAACTTCATTTGTCTTATCAGTAAAATGTTAGATGCTACTAAATACCAGTTGCCACAGAAGTAACAGCCCTTCCCAAATGTTTTTCTTTGTGATAAATTAATAATTTTCAGTTCACTTTAGCTGCAAATTGTTCTAAAGATGCCTTTTGCATATCTGAGCTGCAGGGATGGTAGCAATGTTTCCTTTGAGGGTGGCCCGGGGCAGTCAGATCTGTCATTTAAGGGTGAGAAAATGTTTTTTAATTTTCAAAGTGATTAAGAAATGGTATTAAAGGAAACATGTCTACCACTTTTTTTTCTCCACTATTGCCATGAAATCTCACTGGTTCTATTGAAGAAGGACCACAGGAAATAATGGATTAATATGGTCTAGGATAGACATAGAGTTGCAAACCTCTAATTTAGGCCTTTGCTGATGGACTTTCATTTCATTTTTGCCAGCTAATGATACTGCACACAGTTGCTAGGATGGTAATAGTGTAGTGGTTTTAGATTTTAACATTCATGCTCTGAAAATAGCTACATGGAAATTAAAAAGGAAGTGTTTATTGGCATACTGTGGGTTTTGGTTGATCTTGAAAGATACTGTGCTCTTTATATTATTCTGGTTTCTCTATTGACTTCTGATTCAAGGTAAGTACATCTAAATGGCTGCTTTTGTCTGGAAGATTTGTATCTGATTTTGTCAAGTGGTGGGAACGGGAAACATGTGATGCAACAAAAGTAACCACTAGATTATTTTTCATCTGGAGAAGTTTGGAACTATTCCCTAATTTAAAAAACATTTTCTTTCCTAATAGGACGAACATACAATGATCTGAACCAATATCCTGTATTTCCGTGGGTTTTAACAAACTATGAGTCTGAAGATTTAGACCTGACCCTTCCAGGCAACTTCAGGGATCTTTCAAAGGTATGCTTCCGCTCCGTTAAAGACAGTAAGCCTGCCTTTTTGGGAAGATATTTTGGTTTATATTATAGGCTGATAAAGTCTTTATGTTGAAGTCAGAATAATTTCATACTGAATTTCTGCGCTATCATATTTCTATGACCCTGACTGATCCGATTCCAAAACTGTAACTCCCTTGTACCTTCTAACTTATGGATGATTAGTGTGTTAGACCACTTGATCTCACTAATTATCTCCCTGATTCTTTGGCAATAAAAAGCTTGGGCTAATTTTTCACTTTGTTTCGCAGTGACTAGATGAGCAATCCGACCGCCTTTTGGTTTAATAGTTTTTTCAGTAAACAAGTATTTTTGTGTTTTAGACGTAGAGTATGTGGTCCTATTAATTTTTTGTGGTTTTTGTCCTCCAAACAGTCTCAGGCAGTTAGTACTTTATAATAATACAGTTCCTAGTATTCTTTTTTACTAGTAGCACCAGATTGCCATCTGTGCCCAGCTCTGGTACTCCAATTTTGTCAACAGACTGGAAAGAAGGTGTGTCTTGGCCAAGCATAGCAGAAGCACGTGGACGGGCTCTACTTTTGGTCAGCTGTAATAAAGACAAGAGACAGGGTTTGAAAAAGAGCTGTAGGAAGTATCTTTCCTCACATACTTTCTTGCCACTTGCAACATCTCCAGAATGAGCTTTCTGTTGTCTCAACATGACAATTTCCTTGCACCCTTGCCACAATTGCTCAGTCAGGAGGGAGAAATTGTTCATACAAATTGAGTGAGGCTCAAAACTGCAGGAGGCTGTGACCTGCTGGCTTTGGGAATGAGGCTGGAAAGGAGAAAATGAACCCAAGGCCTGTTCTGCAGCCCCTGCTTTCCCTTTTGCTACTGGTCAGAGATGAGGGTTTCTAGGGCTTCTTCATTTAGGTCTGCTTCTTTCCTCCTCTTCCTCCAAGCAAGCATCTTGGGCAGCAACAGAAAGATTCCACAGGGTATCTCACAGTCCCTCACTCCTTTTGGAAAGTTTGTACTTGTGGTACCTTCAGGTGCATTGTGCCCGTTTCTGGAAGCTTGATTTTGTGAGACTTCCAAAATAAGTTGAGTAGGACTTGGTTGCTTAACAGCAGATAGAGGCACCAAAGTTTCCTTCCCCTTTCTTCTTAGATAAATAAATAAACAAACAAATAAATTGAACTACATTCACAGTATATCCCAGGTGTAAACAAATTCGTTGAGACACTACTTGTGTAGAACTGCTGACCTATAACAATATTATAGGTGTGTTTCACAAATGTCTTTTTCGCTTATATAAACAGTGTTGTAATCTGTACCAGGCACAATAGAAGGAAACCCACAGAATAGTTAAATAACTATCAGAAATAATCTTTCACTGGCTTGTTTCCTAGCATGTATTAAAATATTTATGTTTTCTAGTTTTTTATAGTGATAAACCTGTCAATAAGACCTTACACTTTTCAAAATTTCCCAGATCCACTTCTTTCTAATGCTGATAGCAGTGCTTGTGGTGAAGTGCAATGAGATTAGACAGCATATCATGAGTCCTTCATTAGGTATTTAGTTTTGGTTGAATCCAAATTTTTATGGCAGCTTATTAAAGTATGTAATTGCTACAGGAAGTTGCATGGTAGCTGAATAGATAGATTTTCCTCATGAGTTAGTAGAGACTCATTATGGAATTAGTGCTTGTATAGCTTATTAAGTATCATGGCACTCCTTGTAGTGCTCTCCTTTGAAAGGAAATGCAAAATCAAGTCCCTGGTTGTTTATGTTTCGTCAAGAATCTCTGCAATGTGCACCACAGTATTTTGCCTGAGGACCTTTTCTTACCCGATTTGATAACTGCATTCTCTTATTCAAAAGCTACTAGTGGTTTCCTCTGGAAAAGATAGGGTTTTGACCACTAATAAAAAAACCTACAGAGAGCTAATTAAGGAGAATAGTTGTTTCTTTTTGGCAAGATCTGGGCTGCATTTATCCCATAGATGTGTGAGAAAACACGTGTGCAATCTGTAAAGTGTTGTGGAATGCCTCAGGATAAAAGGGATGTGATTGTCATTTTTTTTCTGGTGTTTATTGTAATAACATCTGATAAGTTTCATTTCACAATGGTTTAAAAATAATAATAAAAATAATAATATATTTTTTGTAAAAGGCAGTAGCCTGTTAATATGAAATGCCTTACTTTGTGCACTTTGAGCTGTTATGCATTACTTGCATCCTGTTTCATTTTGTGCACTCTCAGTAAAAATTTTCAAAATCAGAACATATCTGAAGTATATCCTTGGAAATTCTGTTTTTATTTTCGATATTGTCTTGTGTCTGCAAGTAAGCCCCTTCTTTCCTTGTTAGAGAGGTGAATCCTGAGTAACTTAGTGCTTAAAGCAGGAGTTAGTGATTTATTGTTCACATTATTGAACCAGGGTGTGCCATCAAGCCTCAGCCAGACCTCTGGGGCAGGCACAGACAACATCCTTTCCATGAGGAGCCACTTCCTTTTGTCAGATTTTACCCTGCAATGGAGAAATAAATGTTCCTGCAGATTTGATGGCAAATCAGAACCTCCAGCTAAACTGATGATGGATAAAATCTCCTTTGTCAGCTCCTGACCTTCTGTCTTCCCTCAGGTCTGCCCTTCTTAGGTTTCACAAAGCCTCTGTCTTTAATATTTAGTAAGTAATAACCCTGAAACAATCTTTTGAAACAATTTAGAATTCTAACGTATGTAGTAAAAGCCCACAAAAGCAATGAAGCTAAAAGTGGAACTACCTATTATGCTTTGTTTTGTTGGTTTAAAATAGCTTTGGTAACTAAATATAGATACTAAATCAAACTTTTTTTTAAAGTAACTAATTTGCATGATATCATACAGAGGTCATACAAAGGTCCACTGTCAATTATTATAATTGATTCCTAGGCTTTCTATATAAAATCTGATCCACTGTCTTTGTGATATTACAACTCCTAAGTGAGCATACACTACAAATGTAATTGCTATGTTTTGTGGAAGTGAAATTAGATGTACTTGATTTGCTTACAATGTCAATTGCAGAGTAAAACTTACGCCTTCTGCATTTAGCTCTAACTTAAATATTTACATTGCTCCAAAGCCATCTTGAACATGTAACTTGTCCTTTCCTTCCATTCTGTTTAATTCAGTTTTTATGTAGCACTCCTTATTGCAGTATTTTACTGCAAATGTTGCTTGATCTCTCAGAACAATTATATTTAAATATTAGTCTGAAAATTCTTCTGCCCTTTTTCTTTGAAGTGTTTGGAAATTCCCCTGTCAAGGCTTGTTTTTTTTCTTTTACATATAATTTGAGATTTAAAACAAGGGCCCAACAGCACTGAACGTGTCGCAGCAGTGGGATATATTAGTCTTCTCATTTGATTAGACAGTGTAGGCTCAAGTTTTATTCATTACATATACAAGGTTAAAGGTTATATTTATTGTTTGACAGGATGAAAAGCTAATGAAAGAGGCTGTCATAGATACATAGATTATCTTTTCACTATCAAACCACCAGGTGATCTGCTTATTTTCTTCTTTACTGAGATTTCCTTTGGAGGAGTATCTATGGCATTAAACATTAGTACAGGAAAAGTGTTTGCAGCCCTTACTCTACACTGAGGTTTTTGGGGGTTTAAACACACTTTAAATGTGATGTGGCTTGTTTTTGCAAAATTATATGACTTTTACTCCTAAATCATAGTGAATGCATGGGTTTGACATGCTGCATTGTCCCTGCTCATTAAAGTGTAAATGCGAATTTCTCCTCATTTACTTCCAGTCATACAACCTGTTAAATAAAATGATTTCTTCACCAGGCAAAGTAATACTAATATTGACATGTGTATGAGACATCACACGCCCATTCATTGAGTGGAAAAAATTATATTTTGTTAATATAGAAGGTGTTTGACTGACGGGTGGTGATAAGCATAACCACTTTTCCTTATTACTGTGCCATTTCAAGAAAAGGAAGTGATAGAGCCCCAGGCTTCTAAATGTAATAATGCAAATGAATTCATCGAAGTGTGAATATTTCAAGGCAAACGACAGAATACTTCCAAAAATGTGTATGCTGTGGAATGGAGTTTATGGTCTTAGCAAGAGCCACTCTCACTGGAAAAATAAAATCAGTTTCTGTCACTTAAACTTCTCTCTTTACCACACACAATTCTACCAACAAAAGGAAAAAGAGTTTAATTCTCATCTGGTTTAAGCTATACCATAATAATAATAAAAAAAATGTTTCTTAAATATAAAGTTTATTTACTGAGTAAAACTCTGGTACTTCAAATCTGCCAGAATTCTTATATTGGCTAACATTGATATTGCTGAAAAAATTTTAAAGTATAATTCTAAGATGTCCTGCTTAAAGGTTGCTGCTTTGTGGTTTGGATTTTTTTTAATAAAAAAAGGAAACAGAGAGGAAAAGGTCAGCCAGAAATAAAGAAAGTAATGCTCAAGATTTCTTTTCTACCCAGCTACATTTTTGTAGAATACATTACAAAAAGGAAAAAAAAAAAAAAAATTAAAAAAAAAGATATATACAAACATATAAGGTAGCTGCTTCATAATTAGTCAAGATAAGCAGAATATTTCAGTGACTGGATAAATAGGATGCTACATTCAGCTCTGCTCTCATGAGAGAATGTATTCCTATGAAGATAGCTGGCAAAACAGTAAATATTACATGAGCTAACATAACATGTCCAGTGGATATAAACACTAGATGTCTTGACAATACAGCAGTTCAAAGGCCAGATGTCTAAAGAGATTAGCCAGATAAAAAAGAATGACATGAATAGCAGTGTGTTTTTAATGTTAAAGTAAACACTTACTTTATTTTTAAATGGAAAAAGAAGCATAAAATAAACTCAAACAGCAGCTTTTAGTGCATCAGAACTGAAGTGGCCGAACAGGCACTGTCATACAGTGAGTTGTTTTGGTTGTTTGGAGAGTAAAGAATATCCTATAAAACCATT